GCCTTCTTACGGGAAGATCAGGTTCAGGGTTTACAGCTAATTTCTTTCTATTTTTAGTAGAAACGGGGGAGGTCTCACTCTTGCTCAGGCTGGTCTCGAACTCCTGACCTCAAGCGATCCTCCCGCCTCGGCCTCCCAGAGTGCTGGGATTACAGGCATGAGCCACCGCGCCCGGCCTCACTCTGTCTTTTCTCCCACTGATCTTCACTGAACCAACTGGTACCTAGTCCTGGGCCCGGCATGGCTGAAGGAAGGGCCCCCAAAGACCAATAAGATGTGGTTGTTTCTCTTAAGGAACTTACGGCCTTGAGAGCGAAGCTGAGAGACACGTGCCATGGGCCCAGACAGAAGGAGCCGAAGCTCGTTTTCATTTCTATGCATACTCCTCCCCACCTGAGCCTCAGCAGAAATCTCACTCCCTGGGATCACCTGGCAGTGTCTACAGTTGAGGTCTCATGCCCTCAACAGGAGGTGCAGCTGCTGCCCCTGGGTTTGCTGTCTGTCAGCTGAGCCTGGCTCAGGTCATGCCGAACCCCGGAGTCAGCTTCCACTGCTGCATCCTTGTTTGGTGGTCCTTGCACGTGGCCGGCCCCTGCCCCGTCCCCACTGTTCCCATCAAGTGCTCTAATGGCCTCTGGGGCCCTGATGCATGGTGCTGTGTCAGGGGACTGTGTGAGCACTGCCTGCGTGGAGCAGGTGTACAGATGCCATTGTTACGGACGTTGATGAGAACCGGGAAGGCTCCCTTGATGAGCACCTTGGTCTCTGCTGATACTTGGTGGTGACTGTGAAGCCGTGTTGACATCCAGGTAAAACTGAGCGTCCCGCAGGCGTCGGAGACTAGGGTTGGAAAATGAGATGTTGTGGGGTCAAAGTCAGCTGTCTGGGGGCTGCGCTGCACAACCGTGGCTCCTCAGAGAGTCATCTCTTTGCTCATTAGTCAGCCATTCACTCATTCATTCAGTCACTTACTGACATAACAAATATCTGCTAGGTGCCCACTGGGTTGGGCATGTGCGGGGTGCTGGGAAATAGCAGTGAGGAGGACCCCAGTCGCACACCCCAGCCCTCGGGACCACCCAGTGGAGTGTGGGATACAGGGAGTTACATTCTGAGCCGTGAGTACTAGATTCTGGATACGCCCAGGGTGGGCACTTAGGAGGGGGATCTCTAACCCAGGCTGGAAGGGCGAGCGAAGGGCAGGAGGCGTCTGTGACGCAGCGGCAGGAGTGTCCAACGCAGAGCCCAGCCCGGTGCTGCTGCTGTCTGGCCACATGATCGCAGAGATGTTACCCAATCCCTCTAAGCCTCGGTTTCTGTGGCTTTAAAATGGGGATGACATATATATGCCAGGTTTGTTGCAAGGATTAAAAGGGATACTTTGCATGAAAGTTGTCAGTTGCAGCGTGGTGTTCGAGTCATGCAGTTTGAGTTTTTGAGTGGGAAAAGGCTCAAGACCAGCAGGCAGGTGACACAGCATCAGTAGGATGCAGGTCAAGAGGCTGAGAACCCAGGTTGTCAGTGGGGGGCCCTGCCGAAACACGGGGAGACGCTTCGAGGCGTGTCGGGGAACAATGCCTCTTCCTGTGGCCTTCTGGTTTTCATTCCCCTCCCTTCAGCCAGCTTCTAGGAGAAAGAACCATCTATGAAAAGAAAATGTGTGCGGTGCTCAGCCCTTTCTCCCTCTCATCCCCTCCCCCCCCACCATAGAAAAGAAAACTTTACAGAACTTCCTCCTTTGTTCTCTTGAGCATGCTCCGGGAGTGTGCGCAGGGGCTGAGGGATGGAGCAGGGGAGGTGGTGAGCAGCAGGGAACTAGGATTGTTCTGTGGGGGCTCACAGGTGCGAGGGGACCAGAGCCTGCCTTCTCCAGGGCTGTACAGACTCTTCCCCCCGCCTTGGCCCCTGCAGCACCTGCGCATTCACCGCCCTCTAGAGACGGGAGAAGACAACTCTAGCTTGATGGCTGCTTCTGTGGGTTAGAAGCCCAAGTCACCTGTTCACAGGCCGGGGAAGGAGAACCAGTCTCGGCTCCCTCCCCCCATCTGGCCATTGGCTTCTGTCACCCAGAACACTGCGGTCCCGGAGTTCCCTGATGTCTTTTCCTTCTCTGGTCTGTGGTTCTGCCCGGGCTGTTGGCTCATGTCTCTCCGAAGAGAGAAGGTCTGTTTTTGGAAGAGGAGGGAGAATGGAACAGAGCCCCCAGGGAGCTCAGCTCCCAAAGATAATGTTCCTTCTGATACTGTGTACATGGCTGTTGGAGTGTCTAGAACTGTGGTCCCCAACCCCCAGGCCTCAGACTGGGACCAGTCTGTGTGGCCTGTCAGGAACCGGGCCGCCCAACAGGAGGCGAGCAGTGGGTGGGCGGGCAAGTGGCAAAGCTTCATCCCTGTTTACAGCCGCTCCCCATCACTCGCGTCACTACCTGAGCTCTGCCAGCCTCCCCCCCACCTGCTGTCCATGGAAAAATTGTCTTCCATGAAACCCATCCCTGGTGCCAAAAAGGTTCGGGACTGCTGGTCTAGGATATAAATAATCACTAATACTAATTATCACTATCAATTTATTGAGCATGTACCATGTGTTATGCCTTTTAGAAGTATTATTATAATTATTACCCTTTTATAGGTGAGGAAAATGGAGCACACAGAGAGGCCCAGTAACTTGCCCAAGGTCACAGAGCAAAACAGTATTGGAATCTGGATTGGAAGGAACCCAGGTAGTCTGGCTGTGCTGTAATCTGCCTGAACTGTTACGTGCAAAAGAGGGCTGTCAGCCCCAGGGGCTTGGGAGAGAATGGATTACTAAGCTTAAGTATTCATTTTATTTGGGTAAGAAACTAGACTTCTCTTCTCGGCATGTTTCTGAGATGCCTGGGACTAAATTATGAAAGCCATGTAGCAGTGTAGGAACGGGAACGCCTGGGCTTCTCGCTGTGGCGGTGGGGAGGAGTGTGTTTGGGGTTTGCTCAGGGGCAGCGATTGCCCTTTCTCTTTGTTACGGACTTTTCTACAGGCAGGTCTCTGCTAAAAATTCTATCTCAGGCACTCACAGTTTCAGAATTCGCCTCTTCTGAGCTTAGCAGTATCTTGGGGTTTTCTCCCAAACCCGTGATGGCGGCTAGCTGGCCCACATCTTGGACCCTCTGTCTGCCTTTGGCCCCCGAGGGTGATGCTGAGGTGAGGGACGGGGATGGTGAAAAGGTGCAGGAGAC